CAGGTAGTGAAAACAGTTACCTCAGCAACAGAAAGTGGTCCTGAAGAAGAAATCTGCCAAAATAGATGCTGGGGCCCATGCTGGTATGATCTTAAGTCAGGCCCTTGAACTCTGTTCAGTAAAATTGGGATGATATACCCTTTCCATAGGTTACTGAAGAAAACATGGTTTGCTGGTAATGTACCTGTCCCAGGTGAGAGAGCATGGATTCTGCCAGAGGACCTGGAAGTATGCTCTTCAGGGCTTGCTCTCAGCTCTCTGATAGGAGAAGGGACTCAGGGTCCACTGTGCTGCTTCCAGCCCTGGAGTGGTTCTGGGCAATGTGGAACAGTGCACAGGAGAGGAGGCCCTGGAAAGGAGCTGAGAGAAAAAGAGAAAGAGAGGAGAGGGAAAGGAGAGGAAAGGAGGGGAAGCCTGGGGTAGACAGAAGAAGCCCTGTGTGGATGTAAGTTCATTTCTGCCACTGGCATAGCTTTTTAGATCCATGGTTATTCTGTGTGTGTGTGTGTGTGTGTGTGTGTGTGTGTGTGTATAATTCAGATCTGGGCAGAGAAAGCAGGACATCTAGTGGTTCGCATAGGAGACATCCCAGTCCATTAGCCAGTCCACCAAAGTGGATTGTATTATAATGTATTCTGTATTATCTAAACATAGAAGTGTAATACCCATAAGGGATGTGGGTGATTGAATTAAGATTATTTGTAATTTGTATGTGCATTTTTTTCCATTTTTTTCCTGTTTTAATGGGTTTTGCTAGTTTACTTAGGCTAACCCAAACTGCTGGGCTTAAGTGGTCTTCCTATGTCAGTGTCCTGAGTCCCCTGGGACTGCAGGTCTCACTCCTGTGACTTAGCAAAACACTATCTCAGAACAACACAAGGCTCAAATAATTCAGAACTACAGCTTTGTCACTCTGCAAGGTTCTCTCTCTAGTCTCCCATGCCTTTCTCCAAACTGCCTTGTGATGTAGGAACCAGAGGCACCCAGACCCTGCCTGCAGTCACTTGCCAGGGACGGGACCCTCAGAATCTTTAAGACACGCTGTCTTCTAAAAATACCAGTTCAGCTGGGGATGTAGCTCAGTGGCATAAGGGCCTGCCTGGCAAGTGTGAAGTTTTGAGTTCGATTCCTGGTTAAAAAAAAAAAAGAAGAAGAAGAAGAAAAAAGAAACCCCAAAAACCAATTGAAGAGAAATGATCATTTTTGTGTCCTGCTTGTCAAGTATTTTTCTAAGTTCTTTGGACCTATTAGCTTGCTTAATGAGCCTATGTTTATAATTGGAAAAGATTACAGAAAAGAGATGTTTGATCTAAGAAGGATTTTAAGATGAAATACTATGAAAGAAACTTGTAAAACAGACTGGGCTAGGACTGTGAGATGGACTCTCAACTGGTACCCAGGGCAGGTCCTGTTGCTGCCGGCTTTTGTTTGTTCATTCTGCAGTGGTCTCTTGTCAGCTTTATTTAGGTATCATTGGCAAACAAGAATTGTATAGCCTTACTTGAGCATGGTAGTGTATACCTGTAGGACACAGTGACAGCCTCAGTGACATAGCATGATCCTGTCTCAAAAAAAAGCCCCAGGGTGTGGCTCAAGTTGTAGAACACTGGTGCTTGCTTCATGGCACATATGCTAAAAGTTGTAGAACATTATCACTTCATATTGTTAGCTAGTGGTTTATTTATTTACAGTGGTGACCATCACGTAGGGCTTCTTGCATCCTACGCAAGTGCTTTAGCTTGTCTTAGCCCTTTTTATTTTGAAGCAGTGTCTCCCTAAGTAGCCCAAGCTGGCCTTAAACTTTTGGTTCTCCTGCATCAGCTTCCAGAGTTTGTACCATCACACCAAGGTCAGGAAGTTTTTTTGAGTCATTCTTAGGGCAGTGTTCTACATCTCCGGGGTGGGTCTGGTGATGAATAAGACAGGTATGGCCCCTGCTGTTGCCCCGAATAGGCAGAATAGGAAGGAGAAAGAAAGATTATTTTGCTTAAATTGCTATTTTTATTTCTAATATTTTTATTTATTTATTATTTGTCTTTTTGAGACAAGATCTTGCTGTGCAATTCAGGCTAGCCTTTGACTCACTTTGTAGCCTAGGCTGGTCTCAAACTTGCAACGATCCTCTTGCCTCAGCCTCTAGAGTGCTGGGACTACATGAGTGCTTCGATTAGTATTTTGTTTTGTTTGTGTACTGGGAATTGGACTCAGGACTTGCACTTGCCAGGCAGGTGCTGTACCACTGAGCTACATCCCTGGTCCCAACAACTGGTATTTTTAGAAGACAGTGTGTCTTAAAGAGACTCTGAGGGTCCTGTCCCTGGCAAATAATGGCAGGCAGGTTCCGTGTGCCTCTGATTTCTGCATCCCAAGGCAGGTTGGAGAGTGTTATGAGAGACCTGGGAAGAGGACCGTACAGAGTGGCAAGGCAGTAGTTCTGAATTATTTGAGCCTTCTGGTGGTCCTTTTTTTTTTTTTTGGATTGAACTCATGACCTTGTACTTGTCAGTTAGGCGCTGTGCCTCTGAGCTATATGGCCACCTTGTGTTGTTCTAAGATAGTGTTTCTTGCTAAATCACAAAGTTGTCTAGGCTAGGCTTAAGCTTGTGATTCTCCTGCCTCAGCTTTACCAGAGTGGGATTATAGATATGTGCCACCACACCCAGCTTTGAAATGTACTGTATTAAAAAAATAATTAAGCAAAATAAAATAAATAAACTGTATTTTATGCTGGGCATAATGGTACACACACACCTGTATTCCCAGCACTTGGGCCACTGAAGGTTTGAATCTAGCCCTGGCTACATAATGAGTTCCAAGTTTGCTTGGACTACCTAGCAAGGCCTTGGCGGCACACACAAAAAGAGAGCCAGTGAGCAAAGATGAATGCAGAAGGTCCACTTGGCACCAAGTGGATGTCTCTCTGATGAAGGGCATCTGTGTGCCATTCTAGAACATCTGTTAGTTATCAAGCTGATGTTGCCGCTGTCACCTGCCTGGGTCTTTTATGCATCTCTCAGTTGTTTTCAGGAATAGAGTAAAGGTTTTCTGTTTTATTGAGTGTCCAAAAATTCTTACATATCCTTTCTAGTTTTACTGCTTTTCTAACTGTCACAGACAAGGGATTTCACTTTTACCTGGTAAGCCACACCAGACTGCCTTCCAGTGTTCACTCTTGCTGTCTTAGTTTCCACTCGGAAGTTGGTTCTTTCTCTGTACCTTGACACATATCTCAGGGCTGCCCATGCCCCTGCACCCATCTCCCACACCCTGTGCACAGCAGCAGCAGCAGGAAATGACGCAGTAGGCCACACACACATCTATATGCCCAAATAATTTAGAACTACTGCCTGGCCACTCTGCAAAGTCCTCTCTCTGGTCTCTCCTATCACCCTCCAGCCTGCTTTGTGATGCAGGAATCAGAGGCACACATGCCCCCCACTCCCCGTATATAATATAAAATAAAAATAGGAAAAACAAGACCAAAAAATAAAATGTGGCTTAATGAATTATGTAGTCAAGAAATATAACTTTGCTGGCCCTATTACATCCCCTGCGTTAACTCCCTAATTTTTTACTGTTTCTCTCTCTTTTCCCTCCCTTTCCTGTGAATGTTGCTGAGAACTGAAACCAGGACTCAACTATGGGAGGCAAGCATTCCATTACTGATCTGCACCGTCACTCTCCTGCCTTCCCTCCAAAAGTGACCACTAACCTGGACTTCCTATTCATTTCCTCTCATTTCTTTATACTTTTTGTCTCCCAGATGTGCATTCGTGGGCACTGTAGTTTAATTTTGTTTGTTTTTATGAACTGGTATTTGTCTTAAGTCTGCAAGTTTGTCCTTCCTTTCCTTCTTTCTTTTGTCTTCCTATGTTGCTGAAACTTGAACTCATGGCTTTGTGCCTGCTAGGTCAATGCCCTAAACTGAGTTGCAGTGCCAGCCTGTTGTAGTCAGAGGTTGCAAGAACAATTATATACAGAACACATAGTTTATAGTATTATTTATAATGGTCACCCAAGGAGTCAAATAGAAAGTGCAGGAAATCTGTCTACAACACTAAAGACCTAGAAAATCCAGCCGAGGGCCTGGATCTCATGGTAATAACCTGCATGAGTTCAGCTGAAAACCTGACTCATGCAAGTCTATTTCACGAATCTGCATTGGGAAGGCCCAAAGGTCAATGATGAGAGCTAGAAAGTCTGTGCCAGTGGGTGAAGGATCTGTGCCAGCAGGCCGAGGGTTCTGTACTAGAGCCAAGAAGCAACGTTCAAAATAAAACCAGGGTTCCCCTGAGAAGTACCACAGCCATCCTCAGCAACAGTGAGGTCCTAAGCTCCTCTGATGATGGGAACAGCTGAGTACATGCCAGGAAGCCAGTGTGACAAACTTCTGGAGATTAAACAGCACACATGTTGCCCTCTGGAGCCAGGAATTGATGCTCAAAGGACCAGAGCTCCCCCAAAGTGAACTGCACCTCTCTCAGCAACAAGGTCCTGAGCTTCTCAGTGATAACAGCCAAGTTCATATTAGGGAAGCCAGCATGGCAGGCTCCTCCAGAACTCATGGCCAAACAGCAACATGTAGCAGAACTCACAATGCTTCTCTCTTCCTCTCTAAGTCTCCTTTTTATGCTGGTGACAGTCCTCAGGTGGGCCATCACACTGATTGAGCATCACACTGATTCAGTAAAGCTGGTGTTTAAGTTGACCACCAGTTATCAGTCCACCGCACAGTCCTTTTTCTTTTTCTTTTTTGTCTTTTTGAGACAGGATTTTGCTTTGGAGTTCAGACTGGCCTTGAACTCACTTTGTAGTCCAGGCTAACTCAAACTCATGTTAATTCTGCGTCAGCCTCCTGAGTACTTACTAAATTGCTCAAGCTGGCCTAAAACTTGAGATTCTCCTGTGTCAGCCTCCTGAGTACTTTGGGATTACAGCACCACCACGTCTGCCTTCAGTCTCATTAATTCAAAGAAACCCTTTATTCCTTTTTCTTACAGTTACCTGTCGAAGAACCCGAGTCTGAAGAGTTCCCTGTAGCTCAGACTTAGCAGATTGCACCTCAGGGCTGCTCTTGTTATTTCTTGTGCATCAAGCATCTGGATCCAAACCTTGAGCAGCTGCAGGTTTGGTCTCTTTGGCAAGGGTGGCAGTGGTTTGAGTGCTGGGGTGCTGGGCTTTCTCTTGTCTTATACTTTGCCCTGGTAGATGTTAGAACAGATACCAGGGCACTGCTTCATGGGAGATGTGGAGCTGTAGGAGAGGCTGGCCTGGTGGCCCTTGTCCAGCCAGTCTCCTCAGAATGCATGGATGTCCTTGTGTTCTGATTGAGGAGATCTGGTTCAGCTCGCTGTCCCACTCCGAGGCCCTTCCTTCTTCCCATTCACTTTGTCCTCCTTCTCTGACTTTCAGCTCTCCTGCCTTTTATCATCTGTCTCCCATCTTGTATACTCTTCGGCTTTCCTCTTGGCCTATTTTTTATTCTTAGGAAAAATAGTATATATGTAATATGAATTCAACTACATTTATTTATTATGCACATGTTAAAGAGAAGCTACAGAAAATTATGCATTTGAACAATGATCAAGAATAAAGTAAATTATATTTTCTGGCTCCAAATTTTATTATTTTCTAAGATAGTTTCTAAGAAAATCTACCATAAAAGTATATATGCTTTTTTTTTTTTTTTTTTTTGTCTTTTTTTGAGAGATGGTGTTACTATGCAGTTCAGGCTGGCCTTGAGCTCACTGTGTAGCCCAGACTAATCTGGAACTTGAATGTTTTTCTTGCCTGTCTCCTGAGTGCTGGGATTACAGGTGTGCACCACCATGCCTGGCAAATGTGTATATGTTTTTTAAGAATTTATATTGTGGGGCTAGGGATTTAGCTTGGTAGCATAAGCGCCTGCCTTGCAAATGTACGGTCCTGAGTTCAATCCCTGGTACCGATCAACACGAAAAAGACAAAAAAAAAAAAAATTATATTGCAATTTCCATTTCTCCAAAGTATGAATTTAAATGATGACTGCTAGTATGCACACAGAAACAGGTTCTTCGCTTCCTTTACCTTCATTTATATTGTTTTGATTGGAATAAATTGTTTTTGAGAATTAGGAAACAGTTTTTAAAAACAATTATTGTGCTTCTTTGTTTCCCATTTAAGGAACTTTGGAAGCCTACCTAACCTTATCTGTAAAATGAAGGGTTAGTCCTGGTATGATTTCAGTAGCTGACTCAAACTCTGTCATTTTTCATTTTATACATTTTTTTTTCAATGCTGAGATGAAACCCATGGCCTCAAGCAAGTGCTCTATAGCTGAGCTACAAACCTGATCCTTTATTTTACAAACATTCTGTTTTAAAACCGCTGCTCTTTTGTTGTTGTTGTTGGTACGGGGAATCGAATCTTACACTTGCCAGGCAGGCGCTTTTGCCACTGAGCTAAATCCCCAGCCCTAAACATTTTGTTTTTGAAAGCTGTTTTAGAGGATTTTCTTGCTTTTCCATGTAGGACATAGCCTCTGCTATAGGAAACTGGAAAAATGAGAGCAACCAGAACTTGTTCTTTGTTTATAATTACCCTGTTTGATGGCAGTGTGTGTGTGTGTGTGTGTGTGTGTGTGTGTGTGTGTGGTGTATGTGTGTGTATGTGTATGAATAGGGAATGCTCTGTGGGCTGTGGTCCTGGACTCAACCTACTGGTCTCAACTCTGGGTACAGGCTTTCCTTCAAGCTGACACTTGGTATGTGCCTGTGGTATTTTTGTTTTGCTGTTGTTTCACACATTATAAAAAATTTTTTTATTCTGTTTTTTGAGAGGGTCTTATTATGCAAGCTGGCCTTGAATTTGTAGCAGTTCTGCTTAGGTTCCTGAGTGTTGAGATTATAGGCGTATACCACAATGCCCAGAAGAATACTCATTTGTATTTAATCCCCCCCCCCCTTACTGTTTGGGATTGAACCCAGGGAGTGGTAAACTACACCCCAGCGTGCTGGCCAATTCACCCACCTCCATTCATCCATCTGTCTATCTCTGTCTATCTATCTTTTTTCCCCCAGTAATAGATATTGAACCAAGGGCCTTTACACTGAGATATATCCAGCACTTTTTATTTTATAGCTTTTTTGTATTAGTACATGTCTGCAATACATATGATCACATTCATTAGGGGGAATTTGTACCTGAATATATCTTAATTCTTTTCTTCCCCATACCCCTTTTCTCCTTTACCCCTTTCCCCATTTACAAAAGCTTTGTTTCCATTTTTCTTCCATTCTCTTTTTCCCAATCTTTTCCCCCTTCCTTCCCTTCTTCCTTTCCCCTCCATTGTTCTATTTGAACAAGTTCTTCATGCCTTCTAATATCTCTGTTTTGCTTCTTATTTATCTTTTGGATTTCTCATATTGGAGAAATAATGCAGTATTTAAACTTGTGTGCCTAATTTATTTCACTTAAAATTACAGTCTTGAGCCAGGGATTTAGCTCAGCAAGCACCTGCCTAGCAAGCATGAGGACATGAGTTTGATCCCTGGTACAAAAGAAAAAGTTTCAAGATGTATCCATTTACCTAAAAATATCTCGGTTACTCTTTTTGTGGCCAGGTAGTATTCCATTATATGTAAATATCACTTTTTTTTTTTTTTGTCTTTTTCTTTTTTATCTGTACCAGGGATCGAACTCACGACTGCCTGCTTGCAAGGCAGGTGCTTATGCCGCTGAGCTAAATCCCCAGCCCCACATTTTCTTTATTCATTCATCCATAGGCATATGGCCTGTTTTTAATTTACTTTCCTGTTTTGTTTTGTTTTTGAAGCAAGGTTTCTATCATAGCCCAGGCTGGGCTCAAATTTGCCTTAATTCCTCTGTCTCAGCCTCCTGAGTGCTATAGATGTAGTGCATGGCCATTACACTCATTTATTGGTTAAGTTCTCTCTCTCTCTCTTTTTTTTTTTTTTTGGTTGATTTCTTGATGATAGTAATTTTTTTGGAGTGAGATGGGATTTCAGTGTTACTTTGCATTTCTCAAATGACCAGTGGTATTTTTTTATATATATATTTTTTATTTTTTATATATTTCTTTGCTGTTTTTACTTCTTCATCTGAGAAGTGTCATTTCAGATGCCTGTTTTTGAATTTGGTCTTTAAATTTGGGATTTGATTTTTTTTTTTTTGAGTTCTTTATATAATCTAGATGTTAGTCATTTGTCTGAGGAATAGCTGATAAATTTTTTTCTCCATTTTTGTGGATTTTCTCTTCACTATCAATGGTTTATTTTGCTGTGCAAAAGCTTTTAATATGATAAGATGTCAGTTGTTGATTCTTTGTAATATTTCTCATGTAGTTAGGGTTTTGTTCAGATTGTTTATGTTTTAATATTTAGATCTTTGATCCATTTTGATTATAAGTGCATCATGAGAGATACGGATCTAGGTTTAATTTTGGCATGTAGAAAACCAGCTTTACCAGCACCATTCATTAAAGAGGCTGTCTTTCTTCCAGTGAAGATATTTTGCCACTGTGTCAGAGATTAAGTAGCTGAATGTTCTTGGAGTTGTTTCCGTATCTTTTATTCAATTCCACTAATCTTCAAGTCTTCTTTTTTTCCTGGTACTATGCTGTTTCTAATCCCTTCCCTATTTTTTTTTGAGGCAGGCTCTCCTGACACAGTAGACTGTCCTTGACCTCAGTGTGTAGCCCAGGCAGGCCTCAAACTCATAGCAGTTTTCCTCTCTCAGCCTCCCAAGTGCTGAAATTACAAGTATGTACCATCATGCCAGATCCCAGGCCTTTTTAAAAATTTTGTATTTTATTTTTTTTCTTTTTTCTTTTAAAGAGATTAGACAAAAGAGGACATAACAAAGCAGATCAGAACAATTTAAGCAACACAGTATTTGACTACAAGACAACCCAATAGAACAGCAGCTACCATTAATGTCTCTTTCTTTGAAATACTTGAGCAAAAATTTTGTATTTAAAATTTTTTTTTTTTTTTTTTTTTTTTGTATTTTGACCCTTACTGAATCACCAGGTTGCCCAGGCTGGGCTTGAACTTGCAGTTCTCCTGTCTCAGCCTCCCAAGAGTACAGGGATTACAGACATGTGCATCATGTCCAATTTTATTTTTTCTTTTGATACAGGGTGTTTCTAGTTGTGATCTTCCTTTCTCAGTCTCTCAAATAGCCAGGATTACAAGATTGGGCCATTATGCCTGGCATATATTTATTTTATTTTTCTTTGGTACCGGGGATTGAACTCATGAACCTTATACTTGCCAGGCAGGTGCTTGGGCCCCTGAGCTAAACTTCCAGCCCTTTTTTTTTTTAAGTCAGTACCGGGGATCAAACTCACGACCTCATCCCAAGAGTACAGGGATTACAGACATGTGCATCATGTCCAATTTTATTTTTTCTTTTGATATAGGGTGTTTCTAGTTGTGATCTTCCTTCCTCAGTCTCTCAAATAGCCAGGACTACAAGATTGGGCCATTATGCCTGGCATATATTTATTTTATTTATTTATTTTTTTCTTTGGTACCGGGGATTGAACTCATGAACCTTATACTTGCCAGGCAGGTGCTTGGGCCCCTGAGCTAAACTTCCAGCCCTTTTTTTTTTAAGTCAGTACTGGGGATCAAACTCACAACCTCATGCTTGCAAGGCAGGTGCTATGCCGCTGAGCTAAATCCCCAGCCCCAATCTGGCACATATTTAAATAACTTTTTTTTTTTTTTTTTTTTTTTTGGTACTGGGCATCACACTTACAACCTCACGTTTACCAGGCAAGTGCTTTGAATTGCTGAGCTAGATCCCTGGCCCATATTTAAATAACTTTGAAGTCAAGTAAACTTTTATATCCTGTATGTTTGCCATGATCTCTTTTAGGCCTAAGATAGTAGAATAGATTTTGTGCGTATGTGTGATTATTAAGTTAATTGAACTCAGGGCCTTATGTATGTTAAGCACTCTACCCCTGAACCACATTCTTCTGCTCTTAGACTAGGTTTCATTTCTTATTTTATATCTAGGATTTCTTTCTTTCTTTCTTTTTTAAAATTTGAGACAGGGTCTTTCTGTGCGGCTCGGGCTGGCCTTGAGCTCGCTTTGTAGCCAAGGCTGGTCTCGAACT